TGTGTTGGGTAGTGAGATATAAATCAGTCACACCTAAGTAGCTCTAATTTATCCTGAAGGTGGTAGGATATCTTTAGGAAATTTTGGATCAGCTGAAGAGTGAGTGGTGAAGGAAGTAAGCTGTTTAAATCACCACCACTATGACACAGGTTAGGAGTGGGCTGAAGTGACTCTGGTAAGAAGTAATGAGGGCCTGAGCAAGAACAGTCACTGGGAGATGGGAGTGAAGGGGCAGATTTGAGAGAGATTAAGAAGAAAGACCAGACAAGAAACGGACCAGTTAGTGAGGGTAAAAAGTCAAGTACAGAGCACAGTTCTTGTTTGTACAACTCAATACTGTATTTCCATTCATTCATTTTTAGATATGTTGAGTTCTAGGCAGCTTTAGGACATCTAAGTGGACATCCAGTAGGATTCTAAAACTAAGAAAGAACTATGCCAGTAGGATCTTAAAGTTCAGAAGGATCATGCCAGAAATAAAAAACTGGGGAGGTATCAGTATAGAGAGTTGACATCTCAGAGTAGATGAGTTTATACAGAAAAGAAAGAGATGTAAATCCATGTGTAGAAATTTTTTTGGCTTATGAGAAATTTTGCTTGATAGAGTTTTAAGTTCCAAATTTACCTTTTTTTTAGACTTACCCCAGTGGCTAGCAAAGTACCTGACATCTAATTATTTATTTTAAATAATTCAATAATTATTCATGTGAATGTTTATTTCCTTAGTTTTGTTGCATTATTAAAATTATCTCATAGACTTATAATCATAGTTAATGTAGATTTAGTTCCTCCAGCATTAAGTGGTCACTGAAAGCTAAAAACTCATTTGTTTTAAATTTTTATCTCATTATAAAATTTTATGTTATCAAATGTCCTTGGCCTGCTGAAGGGAAGTGGTGCTAGGAGGTGATGTATAAACTTTCTTAAAGATTGGGCTTTTACTAGCCTTTCCCCACACCACAACTCTTGAGACGTAGTCTGCCTAGTCTGCCCTGCTACCTCATCTCTGCTTCCCGCTTCCTTCAAACTGGCTTGCCCCTTTCTCCTTTTTCCATCTAGCTGGAGTGTTAAAAACGTCAAGGGCTGCTGCAGTCAGCCATCTTGCTGGTCCTTTTGGCCCTTCTTTTTACATCTTCAGGGAAGTCAGACAGAGTTACCTCAATTTCTCAATGTGAGAATGAGAGAGCAACAACCTATCTGATTTGAGAAAAAAGCTGAATTGTGTTTGCATAGTATTTTGAAAGAGTAAAGTAACCTCATTTATCTGTATCAAAGTGGAGAGAGTCACTCCTGACCCCCACTTCCCATCCCAATGCACATTTACTGCAGCCAGGCCCAAGAGCTAATGTCCCTCCCTGAGAAGGCCTTTGGCCCATGGCTTTAAGAATTTCAGATAACACTTTAGTTTCCTCTCTAGCATTCCATTCTGCTGTAATATCCTGACACATACTTATTGTATCATTCGGTTTCATTATTTTCATCACACTTATTAGCATTCGATTTTATTTTATACATTTCTTAACTTGATTACTGTTTCTTCTCTTGACCAGAAAGTCCAGAATGGCAGATTCCATGGCTGATTTTACTCACCAATAATAAAGCTCCATTTATATATTTCAAACTCGAAAAATAACACCAAAATATATTTCTAATTAGTTTTCATAAGAATCATTCTTTACTTATATTTACTGTATAATCATAAAATTCTAGTCAGTATACAAAGTTATCTTAAGATATTATTTTCATACGACTAAGTCAAGACTGAAAATATTATGGGGTATCACAATGTCACTTAACACTTCTCGCTTTCCTCCTGTCCCATTTGGCCATCTTTTCTATTCCATACTGATCCCAAATCACAATATCACTATATCTGTCCCACATTATACATAAAGAAACCAGGTAACATCAAAGACTCAACCAATGACTAAGGAACACTGCTTTGTGGTGCTATTGATTTTATTAATACAAATAAGAGGATAATTTGCACATAGTATAGTTTTTACCTTATTATAAGCCCTAATATAACTATAAACAACAACAAAAAAATACACTGAAATTCGAGGACTGGAAAATGCATAAAGATTAGCTCTAATGAATCCTCAGATCGCCTCAGACACTGCATTGAGTACCTAACTCTATCATTTACTCTGTTCTATGTTCTCTGTTGATAAAAGGCCACATTTGTGACTTAACACTGTCTTTTAATCACACTTCTGCCATGTTCAAGGGCTTTTTTAGGCCAGAATGACCTGTATAGACTGTCACCTTTAGACCTTATACTGCTATTGCAAATATAAACATAATCCTTGCTTATAAACTGATTGTTTATACTTCTAGAATCTTTTGTTCTTCCTCTAAAAGAGTTGACATTTAAATTAGGATTTCATTATGCCCCACATTCAAATATAAAAACAATGCACAAATGTTAAGCAGCAAAACAAAACAGACCGTAGGCCATGTCCACCTACCATGCTTGGTATAGTGGCAAACATAGTCCCCACTCTAGAGTAACCACACTCTGTCCACTCTTCCTCCACAATACGTCCACAATCCACTCACTTTTCCCCACCTCCATCTCACACCTCATTACCCTGGATGAAGGCCCTATTCAGCTGACCTGTAGCAATAGCCTTCTAATTTGCTCTTCCTCGAAACTGCCAAGGGCATTCCTACCTCAAGGCCTCATACTTGATTTTCCCTCTGCCTAGAATGCTCTTCTCATATTCAGAGCTCAATCCCTTAGGTTTCTGTTCAAACGTCATCATATCAGAGCCCAATGCTGACACTATATGTAACCCATCTCTACCATCTACAAGTCTTCTTTGTTCCTCTTTATGCATTCATCATTAACATGGTACATATTATTAGTTTCCCCTAAAACTTCTTGAGAGCAGAGATTTTTCTACTATCTTGTTCACTGCTGTATCCTTTGTGCCTAGAATGGTGCATGGCATACAACAGGTGTATATAGACCAGCATCACCTGAAGAGGTTTCCCAAAGTACACATGCCCAGACCCCTCCAGGTACAGTTTTGGCCATATGTATGTTTAAACAGCTTCTTAGGTAATTCCATTTTTTTTTATTGTGGAAAATATGTATAACATAAAATTCGTCATTTTGACCATTTCCAGGTGATTCTATTTTGCCCCCCTATTTAAAACAAGTGGTATAATATTATATCAGTCCAGCAGAAGGAGTATAGCTGAAAGGGAGGCTCTTTTTTTTTTTTTAAAGACACCACTTTATCTTAGAAATAGCATGGGCTTTGGAGTTGAATATAGGCCCATCACTCATTAGCTGTGGGACTGGGCAAGTTACTTAACTCTTAGTTTCCATACCCAAAAAATGAAGATAATCTCTATATCTTCTTTCCCTCTCCACATTCACCCCAACTGCTCCAAGGTTACTGTAAAGCTAAAATAAAATCAAGTACATATATAAAATACCTACTTTTGTACACATAATAACCTAGAACTTACTGGAATTACTTTCATTGAAATAAAAAAATAAATTTGTATTGGCAGAAAAACAAAAGGTGAAATTCTGGCATAAGTGGCTCTAAAAATTTCTCTTCCTCTACTGATTGAACAGGTGAGGAAAAAAAACTTGTCAGGAGTTCCACAGATATGGTCATATTCAAACAGTGATTTTCAGACTTGAGTGCTTCCGAATCACCTGGAGAGCTTGTTAAAAACAGATTACTAGGCCCACTCCCAGAGTTTCTGATTTGGTGGATCCAGGGTTGGGCCTGATAATTTGCATTTCTAGCAAGTTCCCAGGTGATGCTGAGGCTGCTGGTTATTAGTCAAAGTATACAAAGTTTTGGCTGTATGAGACGAGTAAGTCCCAGAGGTCTACTGTAGAGCACAGTACCGAGGGTTAACCATACTGCACTGTACAGTTAAAATTCTCTAAGAGGATATATTTATTGTTGTGTTCTTATCACAAAAATAATAAGAGGGTGGGAAAAAACTTTTGGAGGTGATGAATAGGTTTATGGCATAGATGTGGTGATGGTTTCAAGGGTGTATACTTATCTCTAAAGTTATCAAGTTGTATACAATAAATATGTACAGCTTTTTGTATGTCAACCATACCTCAATAAAGTGGTTAAAAAACCAACAATGAATTAAAGTATGCATATTCTAATAAAACTTCTGAGCAGATTAATTCCTTCAGTATAATTTTTTAAATAAAAAACCTAAGTTTACTTTTTAAAAATACCATAATATGATATTTAGAACATTTTAAAGTCAGAGAAAAGTCAACTATTACAATTTAAAAAGTACAGGAATAATTTCATGCCACTGGCATTCCAATGACAAATAAATTAAATCCTGAAAATATATTTAAAGTTAGTTCTTAGAATACTCATTGTTTCAAAAGTTAAAATCTAGATAAAACAAAAAATTTTAAAAGAGCAAATGTAACTCAACTTCTGATGGACACATGATGAAAAAGATTACTTACAGGTGTGGAGGCATTCCGTCACTGTAGTTGGCTTGATCAGATACCCTTTACAGATATAGCAGGTGATGTAAGGATTGAAATCTTTCACCAAGTGTTTCCTTTGGGTAGCCATTCGTAGTTAACTAGGACTGGCTTTAGCAGTTCAAGCAAAGAAAAATTTTAAGTGGATGAAAGTCTGATTCCCGGAGCTGGTATGGAGTTCCCAACTGGAGATCCTGAGGCATGAGAACTAACATCCAGATCTATCATGAGATCACTGGTCATCACTCCTTTTGGTGATTCCGCTTTCCCATATCTGTTTCCACAATAATCAATGAAAAGATGAGAGAAAAAGGTGTCAATTTCCTCATAATGTATTAATATCATTATATTAGCGGCAAGTGTTATGTGTTCAAATTGGATGAACAGAAGAATAGAACATTTCCCTCACTGCAACATTAACAGTAAACCTGCTACAATTTAACTCAGAATAATGACAAACTCATCCCATCCTGGAGCCTCGACTATCACCTGTATGCAAATGACATCCAAGGCTATTAACTCCAGTTTTGATATCTTTACCTCTTCAGTAATTGATCTTAACCATCTGCTTGACTGCTCAATTAGGAGTTCCTGCCAATACAAGTTATAGGGTTCAAAACTGAAGTCATTATCAAAATGCTCTCTAATTTCCATTTTGTATCCCACACTCAGTTGTCAAATCATGCTGCTGTCCTTTTCCAATCCATACACAGCCACACTACTAGTATATATTACCTCTCTACCTTTAGTCCATCTTATATTGCTACCAGGTTAGCAAAAGATGTCAAAGAAAGAATGACAATGTCAGTGTTTCATCTTTACAAAGAGAAAAACTGAATTTCTTAGCTTGTCATATAAGACCCTCCACAGACCGACCTTACCATACCCTTCAAAATTCAGGCAAACTGAAAGGTTCACTCACTCTCTTCCAATGCACTCCCACACGCTCTATGCCCTATATCCAACAAGCCCTTCCACTCCTCTGTCTAGATCCTATCCATCCTTCAAAACTGTTCTCCAGGACTATCCTCATTGTAATCTCCCCATGGTTTTTAACCCTTACTTCTCTCCTGTTACATTGTCCTTTAACGTACTTTGATTTTTAGTTACATATTTTTTTATCTCCTCTATTAGGCCACAACAATATCTGATAGAAACCCATCACATTTAGTAAGTGCATGAGCTGGGCAATATTACTTATCCTTAGCCTTTTTTTTTTT